CCATCTCTCAAGCACCGAGGCAATGCTAATCAAAACCACAACAAGATATCACTTTGACTCCAGTGAGAATGGCCCCTTTATCAAAGGTCCCCAAACACACAAATGCCTGGGTGTGCGATTCGAGAGAAGAACACTCCTACACTGCTGGGTGGACTGCACACTAGTTTAACCTCTGTGGAAAGCAATGTGCCGAGATACTTCCGGAGCGATATAAGTAGATACCATGTTCGATCAGCAATTCACTACTGGGCCATCCTATCCAAAAGATCAAAAGCTTCATTTAGTGAAAAAGCACCTGCACTTGCAATGTTTATTGCCAGTATAATTCACAATTGCAAAGCCTGCTGGAAACAACCCAAGCTGCCCAGTCAATTCATGAGTGCGATTAATAAAATGTGTATATGCTATACCATGCATATTACTCAGCCTTTAAGAAACAATGGTGAGTATAGCACCTCTTGTATAGTCCTGGATTACAGCAGGAACCCATTGCTCTAAGGTGAGTATCTCAAGAATGCGAAAAACCAGCACCACATGCCTACACCAGCAAATGGTATTAACGGCATCGAACACCTAAGTGCCGAGCATATAGCGGAATGAACATTTTATCGGGGTGGCTTGGGGGAGGCGTGGAGCTGGGGGAGGAGGGGATGGGGCTATATACAGCCACAACAAGTTAAGCATGTGCAAATTTGGGGGATGGTCATGCTTGAAGCCTCTTACTCGGAGGGTCGGAGAGGGGCATGCGCCAATATATGCTAACCTTAACATCTTTGAACCTGCATAATATGCCAAATAAAAAAGAAAAAAAACATCTAACGTGTCTTGTGAAGGTTGTTTCTAACTCATGCTAGTTTTGAGGGCCCCAGGCCGTTTGAAGCCATATGCCCCCAGACCTCACACGTCTCTTTACTTTGGGAGGCCGGGTGTTGCAACTATTTTTCAAGTGCCCATATAACCACAACAGCAAAAACAATAAAAAACATCAACAGTTTCAATACATTATAAAAGGTATTTTGTATCAAAGTTTGTTACTCTTTTGTTCATAATGAAACACCGATGGGCCCACAGGATAAACATTTCTCTTCTTAGTGTGCGCAGCCTCAATGCTGTTAAAACTGCTTACCATTTCCCCATTAGGGGGTTCCCCCTCGCTTGTTGAAAGGACCCTACTCTGACTGCTGGTCGGCTAATCTACTGTGCCTCTGTCTCTGATTGGTCAACTTTGCCTGCTAGCTACGTTGGTTTCTCTCAGCTGGCCATTCCCCCATGCAGACAAGAACTCACTTGGGGTGAGTTCAGGGGGCCCTTCCTTGCCCTTCAGCTTGCCGGATCTATTCCCTTTGCAGCTACTCTATTACTAAATGTGTTTTGTCTCACAGGCCAATGTGGCTATTCCCTCTTTCCTCTACTTGTGATTTCACCAAATCTGAACGAAGCGCGCATGACTAGTCATGCGTGATTAATGTTTTGGTAAAGAGATTTTTCTGGCCCCAATCACTGTTACGATACTCTTTGATTTCCTTAACACAAAATTTATTTAAAGGCTACTTTGCCATAGAATATTATTCATTGACAGCTTTTAGCCAGATTACAATCAATTTTTAAAATCTGCATTTAATTTTCTTACTAGATCGAACTATGTGTTTTGCCAAAAATCTTATTTTTTGTGATTTAAAATTGAATAAAACAGCAAAATTTTTAAATCGCATAATGTGGAATATTTCTTTAAATTCAACCAAAAGCAAATATAAACGGGTCATGGTTAGGGTTTAGGTTGCTATTGCCCAATAAAACAGGCGTAAATTCAGTTGCTTTAAAACGTTTATTTTTAAAACTTATGCTACAAGCGTTCCTGTTCGGGTAAGGTGGGGCTCTACTCATTACAGAGAGCGTCAAGTGCGCTTAATGCGAGTTCTCCATTGTTGACCACAAGCTCTGACTTTTGCCCAAGCTGCGTCGGA